TGATTAGAGACATTTGTAGGGTCCCTTGGAACAGCGACTTGTGATTGGACTGTGTCCAATTGCCCCGTGTCCAACTGATATACACCCATTTCGGAAGGCAGCCTGTAATTTACTAATTACTGTACTAATTAATGTACTGTAATTTTTCTAATAAGTTGTTCTGATTAAAATGTGATTATTCTAATAAGTTGTACTGATTATACTGTGATTTTTCTAATAAGTTATACTGATTGTACCCTGATTATTATAATAAGTTCTACTGATTGTACTGTGGTTATTCGGGAGCGGTATACTTGGACACGGTGCATTTGGACACAACCAATCACAGCACCGTGTGATTAGAGACATTTGTAGGGTCCCTTGGAACAGCGACTTGTGATTGGACTGTGTCCAATTGCCCCGTGTCCAACTGATATACACCCATTTCGGAAGGCAGCCTGTAATTTACTAATTACTGTACTAATTAATGTACTGTAATTTTTCTAATAAGTTGTTCTGATTAAAATGTGATTATTCTAATAAGTTGTACTGATTATACTGTGATTTTTCTAATAAGTTATACTGATTGTACCCTGATTATTATAATAAGTTCTACTGATTGTACTGTGGTTATTCGGGAGCGGTATACTTGGACACGGTGCATTTGGACACAACCAATCACAGCACCGTGTGATTAGAGACATTTGTAGGGTCCCTTGGAACAGCGACTTGTGATTGGACTGTGTCCAATTGCCCCGTGTCCAACTGATATACACCCTGCTTATTCTAATAAGTTATACTGATTGTACTATGATTTTTCTAATAAGTTATACTGATTGTACTATGATTTTTCTAATAAGTTGTACTGATTGTACTGTGATTATTCTAATAAGTTGTACTGATTGTACCCTGATTATTATAATTAAAATATAATTATCGAAATTTAACTTTCTTTAAATACTTTCCAGGGCGAGATGGTTTAATGAAAATTTACACAAGGGCGGTTGATACTTATGCAGTGGTTATAAATATCAATCACAACACGTATGAGTAATATTATACAAATTTTAAAATTATTTTATTATACTATACTTTGCGCTATAAAATCATGAAAATTTAACTTGTGAAAAATACAAATATTATCATATTACTTTTTATTAGTTTACAAATGTTCTTCGGAGCTCAAAATTTTCAGCCAAATAATTTTTCAGAGTATCCCTTATCTGACTAGCAACAAAGTTATCCAAGTTTCGAATTCTTGTTTGTTCTGGCTGCTGCATTTCGGCTTGTGATTCTGTTACTACATGTTCCCATGCAGATGAAAATGTTTCTTTTCACGTCTCGACTATGTTGTGTAAAATACAGGCGGCTGATACTATGTGTGGTACGTAAGTATAGTATACGTCAATTCGTTTAAGTAATCGTCGCCAGCGAGCTTTCAGCCTTCCAAAAGCTATTTCTACACATACGCGAGCAGAATTAAGATATACATTGAAAGATTCTTCCTCAGGAGTGAGACGAGCACTTTTAGTGTATCCTTTGATGAGCCATTCCAGTAGTGGATAAGCAGGATCTCCGGGAGCGGTGCACTTGGACACGGTGCATTTGGACACAGCCAATCACAGCACCGTATCATTAGAGACATGAGATTTGTAGGGTCCCTTGGAACAACGACTTGTGATTGGACTGTGTCCAATTGCCCCGTGTCCAACTGATATACATCCGGATCTCCTATTATAAGATAAGGCACTGACACATTTAATACTGTTTTTGTTTCCTGAAATATAAGTTTTATGTTAATTTTATGATATTATAATAGTAACTTTAATAAAAAATAAAACATTTTTAACAAACTTCGGGAATTAATAAATTATAGTTCTTGTACAATTGTGAAGTCTGAAAAACTGCAGCATCATGACATGATCCAGGTGTACCACAGTAAATATTACGAAATCTGAAAATAATAACGTTAATCAATCATTTCATTAAAGATAAAAGTAGTAAATGAAGAAATGATACACTTGCATGTACCTATAATTGTGATCTACAACCGCTTGCAATATTATAGAGGGCCATCCTTTTCGATTTATGTAATCTCTATATCCATCGCTAGGAGGAAGAATGGGAACATGCGTTCCATCAATTGCTCCAATTAATTGTGGAATATGCGTTTTCTTCTCAAAAACCGTAGCTATTTTATGGCACTCATTCTTGTCAGGCATAGTTATGCAAGAACTCATTAGTTCTGCATTAATTGCATCAATTACTTTATGAATACACTTCCATACAGTTGCCTTATGAATCCCAAAATTATTTCCAACTATGCGATATTCACAGCTAGATAAGAAATACAGGCAGACAGCGACCTGCTTTTCCACCGATACTGGTTCTTGGGTTTCTATCTGGTTTATATTTGGAGCGAGCTGTTCTCGTAATTCATCGCCTAGAAAGAAAAAAGTTTCTTTTGTCATTCTAAAGGTTTCTATCCAGTCTTCAACCTTAAAATGACCATTAACAATTCGATGCCACCAGTCAAAACTTCGTTCTTTCATCCATATTCCTCTTTGTCGTGGAAATTGTAATATAGGTCCAAGATCAAGGAAATGATTTGGTGAAGTTAAGCTTAACAAGTGTTGTAATATATATTCTTTTGAACGTCTCCGCCGTTTAGTCAAAATGTTTAGGATATGTAATATATGTTGCAGAGTCACATTTTCTACAATTTTCAAATATGTGGCAACAAACAAGTGTATTCTTTCCATATTCTCCTCGATTAATAATAACCTCGATTGATAGGGTGTATATCAGTTGGACACGGGGCAATTGGACACAGTCCAATCACAAGTCGCTGTTCCAAGGGACCCTACAAATGTCTCTAATCACACGGTGCTGTGATTGGCTGTGTCCAAATGCACTGTGTCCAAGTGCACCGCTCCCGATTAATAACCTAAAATTTTAATTTCACTTTGAGTTAAATATTTTACTATATAAATAATTATTCTGATTTCTAAATTCATAATATAACCTAAAAAGTTAATTTTATGTGGTAAGTTATTTAAATACTATTATTTTTACATTCAGATTACACTCTAAAAAGTTAATTTTATTTGGTAAGTTATTTAAATACTATTATTTTTACATTCAGATTACACTCTAAAAAGTTAATTTTATTTGGTAAGTTATTTAAATACTATTATTTTTACATTCAGATTACACTCTAAAAAGTTAATTTTATTTGGTAAGTTATTTAAATACTATTATTTTTACATTCAGATTACACTCTATCACGAAAAGCTTTTTATTTTTTATACTTTTATGTTGGTACTAATGGAAATCCTTAACTCACTTCACTCGACAGGGGTGCGTTCGAAAACACTGAAAGTCCACGACGGAAAGTGGCTGGGGTGCGTTTGAAAACATCATCCGTGTGTATTTTGTCACACTCAGATCGTTCGAAAACCCCTAGTGGGCACACTGACCATGCGACCATGGCCGTTCGAAA